TGGCTACCATTTTCTTTTGACAGAGCTGGGCTGCACCTGTCCCTCTTGGAGCAGACTTTTGTTAAACAGAGTGAATGCCCTCTGGTAATCAGGTCAGATCTGATCCAGAGCCTCTCGCTCATGGTTTCAGATTTCCAACCATAACTCCACACAGTCAGTCATCATGTGACCAGAAGTCTAACCTTAATGACCAATGAGATACTGTCATTGACCCATCCTCCAAGATGCACGTGCATTAATGAAGCTTCCTGTTTACAGTAAGCAAAGGTAAAAAAAAGCTCTAAATTCTTCAGATCAGTTACTGTATTTCACGCCTCGTGCACAGCACAGGCTTTGGCTGGACCGCTGAGGGACGATGTGGACCGCACGAGGGAGTGACGTCGAGAGCGAGAGAGAGCCAGTGTGTGAGAACGTTTTTTTGAGCCTCTTCAGTTCTGACACTGAAGAAGAGGACTTCCATGGTTTCAGTGAGGACGAAGAACAGAGCGATGAGTGACTTTTAGACGACTACTGGTATTTTTATTTTGTTGCCTGTTAAAGCCGTCTCCCCTCCCCTGCATCACGATGTGAGCTCAGTTGAGCAGAAGTGCTCTAAGCAGTCAAGTCTGTACATATTTTAATAAAAATTTTTAAATTCTTGCTGTGGGACATCTTTATGTGTACGGGTGTGTTTAAATACCAGGATCTCATTTTAAGCTCACATTAAACGCAGCAACAGGAAGGGCTCTTCCCATGTTCTCCCCCTCATGTGAACTCAGCGGAGGAGAAGAAATAATTTTTTTTTAAAGCAGTCAACCAGTGAAGACTGGTACATATTGTCATGCTGACAATAGGTCTTAAAGGTACACCTTGTTTGTGGTTTTTAGGTAAACCATACAGAGTAGGTGTGGCCTCCCCTGGGTACAGTCTGTGGTACAGAAAACGGTCAATAGCCTTGTCCTGCTCCAAATTTTTCAGGCAATCTATGAACTTCTTCTTGTAACCACTTCCTGGATCTCTTTTCAGAGGTTCATAAGTGTTTAAGTCACTAAGGAGTGTCATAACTTTCTCATGATAGTCTTTCTGGTTCAAAATCACTGTGCACCTTCCTTTGTCTGCTGGGAGAATGATGATGTTTTTGTCCTTGCTAAGAGTGGTGAGTGCATCCCTCTCCTCTCTACTGATGTTGGAAGGTGGTGGTTTGGCATTGCTGAGGCAGGATGAAACTTTGATTCTGAGCTGTTCTGCTTCAGCCTCTTTCATTTTGTTGTTGCGGATGGCTGATTCTGTAGCTGTGATCATCTCCACCAGAGGAATTCTACTTGGTGCAACTGCAAAGTTCAGTCCCCTGGCAAGAATCTCTGTCTCTGGCTGGGTGAGCTGTCTGTCAGATAAATTCTTCACCCACTTTTCTGTCTCCCTGGCATGTAATTGACTACTGGAGTGTTGTCCTACACTGAATGTGTTGTTATTGGAATAGTGATGGTGTTGATGAGTTATTAGTACGTTAAACTTATTTTGTTGTCGAGTCTTGGACTTGACATGCTGCGCTAAGCGTGCCTGATCTGTACAGTCCAACACTTGCTGAAGTGTGGTCTGATCTAGACACGTTGTTAGTTTCTGTTTAATGTGCTCTTCTTTGGCCTTCAAGGCCTCAATAGTAAAATTGGTCTGTCTCACCCGTTCATTCAGCAGCTGGGTTTGTGCCTTCTGAAGGATCTTGCTTGCCCGGCGCCCGCTAACCGAAGATTTTAGTTCCAGGCTCTTGGGTATGATGCCACTTTGTCGACATCTGAGGTTGAATCGCAAATATATATATATACACATATACATATATATACATATACACATATATATACACATATATACACATATACACACATATATACATATATATACACACACATACACATATATATATACATATACACATATATATATACATATACACATATATATATACATATACACACATGCACACATATACACACATACACATATACACATATATACACACATACACACACATACACACATATATATATATATATATATATATATATACACATATATATATATATACACATATACACATATATATACACATATACACATATATATATACACATATACACACATATATATATACACACATATATATATATATACATACACATATATACACACACATATATACATACACATATA